ATCACTAATTTCGGCTAACATAACTTCAAATTTCCCGGGTTGCCTCACCAACCTGCTGTACTTGCTGAACAAACTTTGTGTCATCTTGCAAACATAGGGCTAGCAAATTCCAATTTGGTTTTCCTCCGTTATTGAAATAACCTGCTCGCTTTAACCCCAAACATATTCCAATGAATAAAGAAAATGCAATCTCGTTGTGTAAAGAGCAAACCTGTACAAGTCCATTAAAGACAAAGTTGAACTCTGGAAAAACTTGACAGCAGTGTGTCTGTGAGAAGCTTGTGTGAATTATACAGCACTGGCTCTTCCACAGTTTATGAAAAAGAAAAATTACTTTTCTTTGCTAACATGATTTCATATAAGGCAGATGTGTAAAATGAATGAAGGACATGTTGAGAACTAGATCAAGCTCGATGAAGTGGTTTAGGCTACGTGTAAGTAAAGATGTCGAGTTGACAATTCACTCTTCACTTTAGAAAGCGGCATATGACCTTTCTTGTGTAAGTCAAAATGGTTAACATTATTTACCCTTTTCATAGTTGTACCATTGTATCGGGCTTTGAAGCCACTGGGAGCAAGTTTTGTGAGCAGGTCACTACAGGTGAAAGGGTAAGAAAAACTACAACCTATCTGCATGGGTTACTGTAGACTGGTTTAAATCCTACCTTAGGCAACAGTAAACAAATTCTTAAGAATCAACAACATAGAATCAAGAACCCATTCGATAACATGTGGGGTATCCTCAAGGTAAATCATCTGGGTCCTTTACTATGGTAAACAAAGTCAACCATGTCCACAATGAAATAAGCTGGGAAGATATCCTAAACAACACAGATCTGAACCTAGAAAAAATAAGCTGTGTGGCTCTTGAGATCTGCTCAAGGCACATTCCATTAAGAAAAAGAAAGAGATGTAAACCAGAAAGAGAGACTCCCTATACAGACAAAGGTAAAGAGTCACAGAGCTGCTGAGAGGGGCCAATATATCTGAAATATGAAGGGAGGCACTGGCCAATGAAATTGCAAATATTGAACTGAAGGAATCTTACAGGAGACAAGAATCACAGGAAGAACTAAAAGCCATAAAGGAAATTGAAAAAACCCAAAATACTTTTTCTTATGCCAAATCTAAGGAAAAAACAACATCCAGTATTGGGCCCCTGCTTAGGCGAGATGGGACATACACAGATGACAACCAAGAAATGAGTGAGATACTAAAGTCCCAATACGACTCAGTGTTCAGCGAGTTGCTGCCCAGACTAAGGGTCGATAAATTAGACACACATGCAACACTTTGGTATCTTTAGTGATGAAGACGTTTCGCCACAACAGGTGGCTCATCAGTCCCACACAAAGGAGAAATCGTGAAGAACACAAGGATTTGAGGTAATCAGTCCTTCAAGCCTTGAAGTCGATGTTTGTCGGTCATCAAATCTTGAAGAAGAACGGTCGACAACCCAAATTTAATTTTTAATGAATTGAGACCCAAAAATTGTCATCTCAAAACCTCAGCTATTATCCTAAACTCCCTACTTAGCAATGTCTGCAGTTTACCGACGCCCAGACTTACTACGGCTCTCTGACTAGTATGAATGCCTAAATAATGTATATTAGAGCTGATTTCCTCTATTCTGTTTATTACAATATACAGTACACTACTTTATAAACATTTAAAAGCATACCAGAAATGTTAGAAATGGTGCAAAGGTGACATTAAAGCAATAATCAAAGATGAGCGACACAAACCCACTACCATTATAGTATGCGCCTCACTTAGCGATGAATTTATTTAAAAATGTGGTCTTAGGAACAGAACTCCACCATTATGCATTATTTAGTTATGCATACTGTTCAGAGAGCCTGTCGTAAGTCCAAGTTATTAGTGAATGAGTATGTTTCTAAGGTGAGGAGAGGATGCATACACTTGGACAATCCTAGAGGATCAGTATCAAATTTGCATACAAAATCGCGTGCTGCTAACGAAAGCAAAAGACTCGGCAGGCATGTAACATCCTCCAGTGAAAAGCAGGGTGCCACAAGTGCACTAAGAGAAAACACATAAGTGGTCAGAGGCCCAAGACTATCAACTGGGGCCCCCGCACACAATAAGAGGGATTACCATAGACCCCCTACTGTCTTCGAGAAGGTGGCTGGACAGGCACCTTAAGTCAGTATCTAACCAGCCGGGCTGTGGTTCGTATGTCAGTTTACATGTGGCCAGCAATGACAGCCAGGTTGATTAGGCCCTGACCCACCGCAAGGCCTGGTCACAGACTGAGCTGCGGGGGCGTTAACCCCCCCCGAAACCCTCTCCAGGTAACATCATGCAGTGCATGAGGGGTAAAAAAATTGTGACCAGGTTTTTGGTTCAACCCTTTGACTGTTTTGGCCGTACATATACAGGTCTCCCTCAACATTCACATTTTCAACTTTCACGGGCTTCACACATTCGCGAATTCCCAACCGCCAAATTCCCAGCCACCAAATTCCCAGCCGCCAAATCATATTTAAGTTTCCCGCCACCATCCTGCAGTCCCTATCTACCTCCCCGACCCCACTCAACTGGCAGCCCACCTCTCAACCACTCAGTGTGGTGGTGTTTTGTTTATTCACTATTTGCTATTAAACTACAGTATAAATAATGTAAACCCATTCATGACTGCATATTGGAATGGCTATTCGAACAGGTATTAGAGCGTGAGATCATGCAGTTTTACTCTTTAACACAGCAAAAGAATTAAACATATTCTGCTACAGCTAATAATAACAATAGTAGTCAGTAGTAATAATAAATAATAATAATAATAATAATAATAATAAATAATAATAATAATAATAATCATATATTATGATATAATTGAAGAAAGAAATTGTACAAAAATACGAAGAGTGGTTGACACAAACGTCGAGTGACTTGTTATGCTGGAGTGAACATTAGTCTACCCTGCTCTTCCAACATTTCACAATAATCATTGTGTTGGTGCTTTTAGATTGAGTGTGACTGGAGTGGTGAGCATGATTGAGGCAATGGTATTTAGATAACATACATGTTAATAATAATACATGTTATAATAATATGTACTATATTATTTATAACATATTATGTTATTACATACCACTGCCTCAACCGCTGAATATTGTGAAAGTTTGAAGAGCAGGGAGAACTAATTGTTCACACCAGCATAAACAAAGTCACACTGACTGCGATCGATGTGTCAACCACTCTCTCGTATTTTTTGTAGCAATTTCCTTTCTTCAATTAATCGTATTTATTATTATATATTATTATTATTATTATTATTATTATTATTATTATTATTATTATTATTTTATTATATGGTTATTATTATTATTATTATTATGTTTTTAATTAAGCAATAGCAGAAATGTTTTTGATTCTTTGCAGTGTCAAGAGTAAACACATGATGTCACCGTCTAATAGCCGTTACCAATATGCAGTCTTGTGATGATATACATTATTATTCTGTAGTTTATTAGCACATAATGAACCAACAAAAACACTCGTTCACCACACTGATGGTGGGAGGGCTGCTGCCAGTTGTGGGGTCGGAGGGAGGGGTAGTAATGGACTCGCAGTGGGTGGAGGCAGTGGTGGAGGTCAGTGGTGGAGGCAGTGTGGAGTCTGTGTTTATTAATAACATACATGTTTGTAACATACATGTTATTAAGTAACATACGTTATTAACAAGCATAACATGTAAATAATTAGTATAAGCAATTTACGACGTTTTCATGTATTTTATGATTATTCATGGTTCAACAAGTTAAGAAGCAGTATTGTGATATATTTCCGCTACAATATATTGGGGCACCAAACATTCACGTTTTTCAAACATTCGCGAAGCTCTTGATCCCCTAACCCACGCGAATGTTTGAGGAGACCTGTAACGTCTTACATCCAGTGTTTCGGACGTATATATACACATAATTCTAGAGGCCTTCAAATAAAGCAGGAGAATGCTGTAGGCCACATGTGAGAGAAACGGTCATGTGTGCAACTGTATAAAAAACAATCCTACAGACAACACAGTGCATAATGAAGAAATAAAAAAACTCCGACCTGTGTTTTTTATTAAAACACCGACTCTGAGTGTATTTTGTGTATTGTATTTATGGTCATATTCTCATTTTCTTGTTCATTTGATAGAATGGAAAACCATGGTTACAGAAATAGAAATGATTTTGATTAGTTTCACAGGCAACTACCATACCACCTCATACTCACTCCAAACCCACTAAGTGAATTTTAAGCCACCTATTTTATTCCTGAAGAAGTAGAGACCCAAAGCACTTGGAGAGATGACACTCGTGCCCACTGAGCAGTGATCCTTAACCCTTTCCAGAGTCAGAACACCGTCATCTGAGAATCACTCACAGGTCAAAGAAATAAAAAATAAAAATTCTTATGAATAAGATAATATTTTTCCAAAAGTAATGAAAACCAAAAGAAGAATTTTATAGAAAAACTTTTATGGAATTATCTCTTGTGCGAAGTTTAGCAGTCTCAGTTATATTTAAGATCAGTAATTATTTTCACCCACACTGAGCCCTATTTTTTTCAGCCAATTCCATTGTTCCGGATGACCAGAACTCCATAGACTATTTCACTAACTATTCTCCTGACTAATACAGGAAACTGCCCATTTACCTATTTCCAGACTACCCAATCAAGCAAGTGATCAGAAATTAGTAATTTTAACCAATTTCACACAAAATTAAAAATTTTTCCAAATTAACAAAACCCTTTGACTGTTTCAGTCGTATATACAGTGAGCCTCAAAAATCGAACGTATCACATATCGAACGTTTCGAAAATAGGACCATTTTTTTCGACAAACTGTGTCCCTATTATCGAACGCAGCCCTCTATTTTTCGGGACCGCCGGGTAAGGACCTGTCGCTGCCCCCGTCTGTCCGCGGTCCCCGGCGCATGCGCCGTGAGCAGCCTAGCTTTGTTTATATGCTTGAGTGAACCACTAACCTGCGCTCCTCATTAACGCATTTTAACGATTATTCGTTGTGTTTATGCTTGTGGACTGTGAAATAAGCTGCCATGGCCCAATAGAAACTGCTAGTGGTTTACCCCTGTGTAAAGAAAGTGAGAAACACCATAGATGAAAAAGGAAATAATACAGAAGTATGAGAGTGTGTGTGAGACTTGTTTGAGCTTGTCCAGATGTTTGGGAAAACAAGTCAACCATCGGTTCTATCCTGTCAAAGAAGAACAAATCAGGAAGCGATGTTGGCGAAAGTGTTAATATAGGGAGTGGATGAGGTGCCCTTCTTCAAAGATTAAGAGATTTGTGCCAAGTGAATGATGTCCAAATGTTGTGCAGAAGTACCACCCTGAGAAGCTGAAACAAGCCTCTTTGCAATAAAGTTCAGTGTCAGAACCTTGTCCCATTTTTAGGGAAATGTTTTTTTTTTTTTTTAAAGAGGTGCCAGAAAACAGAGACTGTGACAGTTTTTATTTTGTGAGTCCAAAGGGGTCCATTGACTCTCAAAGCTGGCCCTAGTGGCATTAAAAAACAGAGGAAGTGAAGTAACCCCAGAGAGGGCTATTACCATGAAGCCTCATGGAGATGGATTCTCCTTCCAACACTAACCCCAACCTCCCTCTCTCCTCCTCCCTATTCTTCCAGATGCCATCACCAATCTTCAATAAAGGTAAGGTCAAAAATGTTTTTTATATGTATTACTATACATAATTAAAACTACAGTATTTGTTTGTACGTAAAATTAATTAATCTCTATAAAATGTATTTTTTTGTGTGAATATTTTTGGGTTTCTGGGAACGGATTAATTGTATTTTCCATTATTTCTTATGGAAATATTGCTTCGAATTTCAGACTTTTCGAATTTAAGAACTAGCTCCTGGAACGGATTAAGTTCGATTTTTGAGTTCCACTGAAATGTCTTACAAGCACTGTGTTTGAACATATACTACTCATCATTCTAGTGGCTTCAAATGAAGCAGGAGAAAGCGTATCACCACATGTGAGAGAGAATGGGTCTGTGTGGTCAGTGTGCACCATATTAAAAAAATCCTGCAGCAGGCAGTGCATAATGAGAAAAAGTATCTCCGACTGGTTTTTTTGTTTTAATTAAAATGCCGACTTTGCGGTCTATTTTGTATTGTTATTTATTATATGGTTGTATTCGTTATTTTCTTGGTCTCATTTGATAAATGGAAAGCATAATTATAGAAATAGAAGGTGATTTTGATTGGTTTTAACTATGAAAAGAACCTTGATAAATGGAGCTCAAATTTAGGGGAATTGTTTGATTTTTGCCAATGTTCAAAAGTAAACAAAGTGCATGGTCATTTTCAATAAATGTCGCAAAGTACCATTCTAATATGCATCATGAATGGGGTTTGAAAATATTTATACAATTATTACAAATTGCAGTATTCTGCATAACAGTAAATCTTCTATTTTTGAAATGAATAAAAATTCAAAATAGAAAGCAAAGTAATATCAGAGGGGCCTGGAAACATGTACTGATGAACAAAAAAAAAATTTAATTTATTTTAGAGCTAAGAATGTCTGCATTGTTCTTTCTGGACCCTATTTTGAAATTTCATACTTTTTAAATTTTCGGAAATTAGTCCAAATTGCAAATTTCTGACCAAACGTTATTGGGTAGTTGAAATCGCGGTAAAAGGGCATTTTCTTGTACATCAATGGATACAAAAAAATGGGAGTTCTCAGAAATAGGTATGAGTTTTGTCGTCTGGAACAATGGAATTAGCTCAAAAATAAAGCTCAAAGTGGCGAAATCGCTGATATGTAAATATCGCCGTGTCCCGCGAACTTCACGAGAGCGTAATTCCATCAGTTTTCCATCAAATTTTCTTCTTTTGGTGTCGATACAATCGGGAAAAGATTCTTTACCATTTCATGCGAAAAAATTTTTTTTCTTGTTCGGAAATTTTGTTTGCGACCACCCGGAGACACCCAGGATTTGGGGTTGCGACAGTCAAGGGGTTAAAAATAGGGTCCAGAATAAACAAATAAACAATATCGCTGATTTGTAAATATCGCCGAGGTCGCTAACTTCACGAGAAGCGTAATCCATCAGTTTTCATCAAATTTCGTTCTTTGGTGTCATTATACAATCGGGAAAAGATATCTCTACCATTTCATGAGAAAATTTTTTTTTCATTTTTTTCGGAAATTTTGCGACACCAGGAGACACCTCAGGATTTGGGGTTGCGACAGTCAAGGGGTTAAAAATGGGGTCCAGAATAAACAATGTAAACATTCCTAGCACTAAAAAACATTTCCTCTGTTCATCAGTTACATCCTCAGGCCTAACCCATATTACGCATCGGCTTTAATTTTAAATTTTTAATCCACACAAAAATAGAAGATTTACTGTTATGCAGACTACTGCATATTGGTAATAATTGTACTAATAATGTCAAATTATTCCTAAATGGCGTATTAGACTGGCCAGCTGTACGCATATGGGACGAGTTACCATCATTTATGCACTCTGGAAATTGGCTACGTTTGTCCTGAAACTAATCAAAATTGCCTATTTTTCTCTAATATATATTTCCAATTCTATCAAATGAGACCAAGAAACTGAGAATGCAACCATAAAAAACCTACGAAAGTACACTGCAAAACCGCAGTTTTTTCCCATCATGCACAGGCATGAGGCAGGAACTTTTTTATATGGTTTCACATTACACCACTGAGACCCAGTCTCTCCATAGTAGCCAAAAGTTACTGTACACAGCTTATCTAAGCTAGCTCATCACATAGTACTACAGCACCTGCTGCAAAAGGTTAAGGTCCCAGAACTGAAACATTTTCTAATAAATATCCTAGTGTTTGCCTCCCAAGTCGTTTACATCTAATGAATAGTCAATTGTAGCTACGTTAGACTAGCTAGTGAGACTAGCTAGTCTCACGTTGCTCTCAACGTGGAGACAAGCTAGTTCTCGCGTTGCTCTATTTCAGAAGTATATATCAAGTTTTCAATAGTTGTAACCTTACTACTCCTCATATCCCAGTATTTGTTGAGTAAGGCGACAACCAAGTACAGTGGTCCTCAATAATCGTCCTAAAATCCGTTCCTGGAAGTGGACTATTATAGAAATTGAAGATTTTTCGAATCATTTTCCCCCATAATAAATAATGAAATCCAATTAATTCGTTCCAGAACAAACCAGAAGTAATCAACAACAATTTTTTTTTTACACTAAAAGATAGATTACATTCACAAAAGATGAACATTCAACATGAACAGTTACCTTAATTGAAGGCGTTGGTTTGATGAATGGAAGACAGGGAGGAGAGAGGGAAGAGAGAGGTTATTTGGAAGGGGAATCCCCCTCCATAAGGACTCTAGGGCACTATAAAAAGTATAAATGAACATTGGTAATAGGGTAGGTTTGAGTGGAACTGTCTGCCAGGTAGGTGATTGAAGCTAGAAAACATTGGGTAGTTTCAAATTTTAGGCTGGATAAAAACACGAGTGAGCGGGTTGGATTTTGAGTCGGACTTGGCGCCTGAGCTATGCTTGGGTAGACATCTGTTCTGTTTAGTGGTTGGATTTGTGACGGACCGGCCGCCTAGTATGGGGCCAACAGGCTTAATTGCAGTGTTTCCTCCTTTCCAATGTTCTAAAAGCTATGCTTGGGTAAGTTTTCAAATTTAGGTTGGATAAATACACATGAAAGGGGTTGGATCTGAGTCGGACCTTGCACCTGAGATTATTGCTTGGGTAGCATCTGTTCTGTAGTGGTGGATTTGTGAAGGACTGGCCTAGTATGGGCCAGCAGGCCTGTTCCAGTGTTCCTACTTTCTTAAGTTCTTATTTAACATGACCTTACCAGTAGGGTGATCGAGGCTAAGACCTTGGGTAGCTTCAAGAAGAGATTGGACAAATATACGAGTTGGAGGAGCTGAGTTTGATTTGGTGGTCTTTGGGTACGGGAGTAATTCCTTGGGTTGCTTTGGGTAAGTAATATTGGATAGGACCTGCCTGTATGGGCCAGTGGACCTGCAGTGTTCTTACCATGTGTTATGTTTCTTTATAGGCTATTTGTGTGAGGGAGGGATGGCAAGTTATTGTTAGAATATGAAACTAATATCAACTCTATGGCTTATTTATCTATCACAACTCAACTAATATGACATAATAAACAATTTAATAACATAGAAACATGGAATATACTGAAGAATGAATAAAATAAGTCATTACGTATGTCACGAAGGTGTTGTGTTTGTAGATGAATGGTTCAGAGACTCGACATGTTGATAGAATTAGACACAATGTTTCTATTCTATTCAAGATTGATGGACTGACCTACATCGGCTCAAAGGTTTGAGGACTGATTTACCTCGTTCTCCTCCTGTTTCTCAAGATCTCCTTTGTATGGACGATGAAGCCATTGTGTGGCGAAACGTTTCCTCAATAAAGATACCCAAGAGTTGCAACATGTGTCTAATTTATCAGGTGTTTGTAGAGTATTTTTTCTACAAACTTTTTCATAAATTATGCATTTCACACATTCTTTACCAAAGGGGATGGCACTAAAGCTTTCTTTGGTGGTAAAGGTAGAAGTGTTGTTGGTAGAAGGGTAGTAAGTGATGGTGGTAGTAGTAGTTGTGTGGTGTAACAGTTGTATAGTGGTAGAAGATTGTAGTGATGGTGTAGAGGTTCCTTCTTTAGTGGCTTCCAGCAATTCTACCAACTCCTCCCATGTTTTGGAGTGTATATAGGGCACAAAACCACCTGCCGCTCACCACCATTATGGACCTCTTATCACTCAGCGGCCCTTATATACCCCAACAAACAACACAAACACATCTCCGTGACATACGTAATGACTTATTTAATTATTTCATTCGACAGTATATTCCATGTTCTATGTTATTAATATTGTTTATTATGTCATATTAGTTGAATTTTGATAGATAAATAAGCCATAGAGTTGATATTAGTGTCATATTCTCGCAACAATAAACTTGCCAT